GGGGTAATCGAATATAGCTCCTCAGTAAATATTAATGTAGTAGCAATATTTTAGGGGTCTTAATATATCTATTAATATTAAAAAAAAATTAAGTATAAAATAATTAATTTTTATAAATTTTATTTACCTAAAAATCTTAAATATAATTAGAAAAATTAAATATTAAAATATTAATTTTATAATATCAGGCTCCAAAAAATAACCCAATTATTTTCCCAAAATAATCTATACCAAACTCTTCCAAAATCTCAACAAATATCTACACCGAATCCTCTGGAACCCTCCGAAACCTTGTCCGGAACCTAGTAATAAAATTATACCATATCGTACCAAAGCTAATCTAGGCTAAAAACCCCATAACAAAATTTTTCTGTTAGGGAAAAAAAGAAAAGCTAAAGGACGGAATACGGAAAACGAAAAAAAGAATAAACGAAAATAAATAAAATACTAAGAATAAAAAATCGATAACGGAGGATAAAAAAACGGAGGATAGGGAAATGGAGGATAAAAAGCGGATAATGGAAAAAAAAAAAAACTACTTTACTACGTGTAATTCCCACCATGACATTTATACATTTTCTTATTGGCAAATCTTCTAGCATTCTATCTAGCATATTTTCTGGCACTCTATCTGACATATCTTCTAGCATTCAATCTGGCATTCTATCTAGCATATCTTCTGGCATATATTCTGACATATCTTCTGGCATTCTATCTAACATATCTTTTGGCATATATTCTGACATATCTTCTGGCATATCTTCTGGCATTCTATCTAGCATTCTATCTGGCATATCTTCTGGCATATTATCTGGCATTCTATCTGGCATATCTTCTGGCATATATTCTGACATCTCTTCTGGCATTCTATCTGGCATTCTATCTGGCATTCTATTTGGCATTCTATCTGGCATATCTTCTGGCATATCTTCTGACATTCTTTCTAACATTCTTTCTAATTTTCTTCTGCACATTCTTTGTCCCATATCTTCCCACATGAGGTCCGGCAGGGAACACTGGGCGGGGATGGTCGTGGTTGAGGTCCGGCAGGGAACACTGGCACGGATGGTCGTGGTTGAGGTCCGGCAGGGAACACTGGGCGTGGATGGTCGTGGTTGAGGTCCGGCAGGGAACACTGGGCGTGGATGGTCGTGGTTGAGGTCCGGCAAGGAACACTGGGCATGGATGGTCGTGGTTGAGGTCCGGCAGGGCACACTGATATGGATCGCAGTGGAGCAGGAGGAGGACGAGGAGGACGAGGAGGACGAGGAGGACGACGAGGAGGAGAGGAGGAGGAGGACGAGGCAGGAGTCAGGAGGAGGCAGGAGGAGGCAACTGACATAAAAACTAACAACCCTCACCTGGCAGGTGGGGAAAAATCGAAAAAAAATAATACAAAACGAAGGACGAAAAATAGACAAAGACGGAAAATAAAGGAGCAAAAATAGGGGGACAAAGAACGGAGG